GGGGTAGAATCTATTAGTCTTTTAGAAAGGAGAATCTACTAGAGGCCTCCTAGATGGGGTCCGAGTAGATGGGCTCGAAGGATCGCGCCGCATCGCCGATACATCGGCGATACATCGCCGATGCATCAGCGATGCATCGATGACGTCGGCGTTGCATTGGCGACGCCGGCGCGGAGAAAAGTGGGCCCCACCGCGAGCCGCATCGCCGATGCATCGGCGATGCGGCGCGATCCCCAGACCCTATCCACTCGGACCCCATCTAGGAGGCATAGATCTACGTGGTGCAATCTCGACTGTGTTGTCTAGGCTGTGCACGATTTGTAGTGCACTCTCGGATGTGTTACCCGAGTTATGCACTGTACGTGGGGAAGTATGCGTTTTCCTTCTGGTGGCCCTTCTTGAGGCGATCTCAGGGCGTCTTGCGCTCTCGGGGCGTCCTGGAGACCTCCTGGGCCTCGTGGGCCGTCCAAAGGCCATCCTGGGCGCTCTTGGAACTCTCTCGGGCAGTCTCGGACCCCCTGGGGCCTCCCAGGGAAGCCGTGCGGGGGAAGAGGGGTCCCATATCCGCCACCGTGCCTTCGGGCACGGAGTGGGCGTCTCCTGAAGTCCCTTGTTGTCGCCCTCGGTTTCCTAGGATTCAGGATACTGAGAAGACCTGGCCCCCAGCGGGCCAGATCTCCTGAGATCCAAGGCGGCTTGTCGCTTGACGTTTTCTTGTTGGTCCTATAGGGCTCCCAGACGGGCCAAAAGGGCCCAAAGAGGCCCCGAAGACAGTCCGAGAAGGCCTCGAGTCGCCCAAGATGGCCTACAGACGGCCCAGGAAGCTTCCAAGACGCCCCCAAGAGGTCTCCAAGAGGCCTCCCAAGAGGGCCCCAAGAGGCAAAAATTATGAATGCTGTGCAGGTGTTTGACAGACTTTGGCGTTCTCGCTTTTGCGGCGCCCCGACGCTCCACGACAGCCCAAGGGTTACCCAAGATGGCTCCAAGAACGCCAAGAAGGCCTCCAATAGGGCCACGAAACGACCCAAGAGGGCCCAAAGACGGCCCAAGAGGCCTCCAAGACGGCCAAAGAAGCCCCCAAGACGGCTCCACGAGGGGGTCCAGACGGGGGACCCGAACGAACACTTCGAGCCCTCGGCCCCGAAGGGCCCCCAGGAGGCCCCAAGAGGCCCCCTAGAGGCCCGCAGGGGCCCCCAAGAGGCCCCAGAAAGCCCCAAGAGGCCCCCAGTGGCGGGATGGGCCGAAGGCCATCAAAAACATGGAGGTACTGGTCGGGGCCCCCGGGCCCGGGATCGCCCTTACATGTATACTCTGGCTTCCACTCATGCCGGACGCTGCAAATCTAGGGAACCTGTTGAGAAACCACCACGGCCATACGTAGCCAAAACAGCCGATGTCTCCTCCGCCTCTCACTGCACTCAAGAAACGAGAAAACAGGAGAGGGGCTGCCGCACGGAACTTCTCTTTCTCACTTACGTCGGTGCTGGCACCTACATCGGACGCTACGCCAAAGCCCACAGCATCAACGATAAGATCCCAGCAGCCAACAGAGACGACGGGCTAAGGAAATCGAGCACACCAAATATATCAGAACACTTGCTCCATCACATGACGAATGCACTGGAATGTCTACAAATTGCCCAATGCATGCCATCGCTCATGCGGCGGACAATGTCCACATAAGATGGCACGTGTCCGCCAACAACGGCACGGGACTTCCATTCACGGCGCGCCTAACGTCCAGAATGTACTGCGCAATCCTGTGTCCAAATCCAGCTCGTATCTCTCGAGCAATGGATCTCTTCTTGAATCTTAGACCCCTCGGTCGTCTCACCACTGCAGCTCCCCTTCTCTCCTTTCCAAAATGCACGATCATGGCAAAACCTACAAGTGCTACATGCGCCCCCCATGTCCATGCGGCACCTCCGCTCAGGCACGGAGCACAGCAACACGTGTCAAAGGATTCGCATATTTCACAAGCTACGCCACACATCGACGATGCAGGCGTAGTCAGGACACACCATGGCGAAGATTAGCGAATCGAAGGCACAAAGTGGCAAGCAAGCCTGGAGACTGATACCAACACCAATATCGGCGGTGTGCATCCACCGAGGGAAGAACATCCCGATCTCATCGATGGTGGAAATATTTGGCTTCCAAGGTGGCCAAACAATTACCATACACACCGACATCTAGGATCATCTTCCCCCAGTGGAGGCAACCCCCTGTGTTGGTGTTGGTGCCCATTTCCAGGCCTCCAACAAAGAGCACGGCGCACAGCAATCCGAGCCGACACTTGGAACGCCGCAGCAGAATCGACTCTCAGGATCGTGACGAGCCGGCGCAGCAAGCCATGGACGAGACATGCCAAACGGACGGCGCGCGGAGTTTCTGCCACTTTTCGCGGCGGGGGGGGCACGGCGCAGCTGGCGCATCGGCTACCTCCTACTGCTCTGCTCGGCCGCGCCTCCTATGGAGATGGCCAGCCAAGCGTGCAGCAACCCCTTCACCTTTGGACAGAATATGGAACGCATCACAGAAGACGAATCGCAACAACATCGGCACGATGCAGCAATTGCTTGACCAGGTGGGGCTGCCCTACATGCGCAAGCGATGAGACAGAAACGCAATGTGCTTGCATGTGCCACCGAATGTAACCGGAACCCGCCTCCGTCGTTGCCATGTGTCGACTTGTGGAGGGAACGTCGGACGGGAGGGCGCTCTGCAGCACCTCTGAGGCCCCTCTCCACTACAAACCCCTCCTGCTTCCCCTCCTCCTGCCCCTCCAGCTTTTTGTGTTGTTTCCCCCCCCTCGGGCGCTGGGCCCGCCCGTGCGGCCGCCGAGCCCGAGGAGCGCCCCTCCAGAAGGCGGAACCCCCCGGCCCTGGGCGCTCCAGCGCAGCAGCTCCCAGGGTGCCACCGCGACCGGGGTCCGCGGCGGGACTCCGCAGAAGGGACGGCGGAGCGATCTGGATAGGATTGCGAAATCGGATCGGATCGGAAACGGGTCGGATCGCCAGCGAATCGGCCCGAATCGAATCGAAATCGGATCGCCGCGCCCCGCTCTGGCTGGCCCCGCCCGATGCGGGTGAGCCGAACCGAACCGAATCGCATCGGAATCGCGCCCAAGCCGGCGAATCGAATCGCATTGGATCGGGTCGTGAACGGCCCTGAGAGTGATGGAGAAAGGGAGGGAAGAAATGAACCGATTGAAGGGGCCCTGGGACACACAAAAAAATAGACACAAATAACAGGGTTCCCCATATTTTCCCATATGTTCTGGGTTTCTGTCTTCCCCCTCACACTTCCCATGTCTTCCCATATTTTCTTGGGAATCGACGATTAATTGTGTCTGTGTTTTTTCCTTCTGACCGGTGGAGTACGGCATCCATCGATCGACCCTCGATCGAAATCGCTGTCGACCAAACCGAAATCGACCGATGCGCGATCCATCGAGGGAAGAGGCTCGATCGATCTAGGAAGCCATGGATCGGTCAGCCTACTACCGCAGGCGCCATGCGACGACCTCTCGATGGAAGACCTCTTCCTCCCAGCAGGAAGGCGAAAGAGAATAATAATACGAATAAGAAGAATAATGAAGAAAGACACTCGAGCTCCTTCGCGCTTCCGTCCGCAACCAGGAGATTGTCCCGCACCACCGTCGGCCAGAGACAGGCTGCCCACTTGAAGTGATGCAAACCAACTCGCGATCAAAATAAGTTCGGGACTGGGAACGGTGCCCACTGTGTTCTCAGCGGCAGCGGGGCAAAGACTCCCAATGATAACCAAGCAGACTCTACAGACGAATCCCTACGGAGCTCCGTAGAGGTCGGAGAGCCTCAGGGTCGACTCAGGGTGCCCTTCAGGGGCATTGGCAAGCATGCTCTCTCCATTCGTAGGGCGAATGTGAGGTGCCTGGCGGCTGGCGGCTGGCCTGAAGTCCCTCCTCCCTCCTCCCTCCCTCACCTTCCGACCCCTCCTTCTAGTCCTGCTCCATCCCTCGTGGCCGTCCGTGGGGATACCAAAAGGTACCGATACCGCTACTCAACGGGCCCCTCCCTGCGTGCGTTCTGAATAAAATTTCGGGGCGAATCCAGCAGTGGCGACGACGGCCTCCTAGGAGGCCCCAAGTGGCCCCCCGCCTCCCCCCCCCTCCTTCGTCGTCCCGCTCCCTGGGGGGTGCGGGCGGGAGGGAGTGAGCGGGAGAGAGTGGAAGGGCAGCGTCCGCGCGCGACCGCGCGCTACGGACAAGCTGTACCAGGCCCGCCCCGCTCCTCGCCATCCTCTTCTCTTTCTCTTTCTCGCTTTTTTTCCCTAAGATGATATGGAGAAAACGGTATCGTTTTCGACCAGCGGCTCATGGTGTCCCCTTTTTGGGCCCAGGGGGAGACTCCCTCCAGCTTTTGACAACGCGGGGTGCAGAGTGCATCTTACGCGCACGCCGATCCTACGCTTGGCAAGGAGAGTGAGCATCTGGATCACATGGCGATTGACCGACCGACCTCCTCCTCCTCCTCCTCCTCCTCCTCCTCCTCCTCCTCCTCCTCCTCCTCCTTCTCTTCCCCCGTCCTTGGAGCTGAGCCCGCGGCCCCCCAGCGCAGTCGAGGGAAGCGTACGAGCACATCGAGCAGCTGGGGCACTCCTGCAGCACCGCGCTGTACGCCAGAAGGCAAGCATTGGGCCTCGCGGGCGCGGCCGGGGTCGGGATTCGCGCGGGGCCCTCCCGCTCCGTGCGCAAGGGCAACGGACAACCACGTGCCGTGGAGAGGTTGCCTAGGTCGGGGAAGGGCAGAAAGGAGAATCGGGGGGCACGAAAGGGTGGAGCTGTAAAGGGTGGGGGTAGAGAATCAGTGCACGCAGCTGGTTTTCCTGGCGCCTCCTTCGGTGGCGAGCCCAAGGGGGAAGTGAGAAGTGGCGGGCCTAATCAGAAGGCCCGGAAGTCTGTCGGCCTTCTGCACAAATTTCTAAGCCTTCCCCGAAGACGCAGAAAACTTCTCAGAAGGCCGGAGCGCTTCTCAGAAGCCCCGCTGCCTGCTGAAAATGAATGATCCTCCTCACTTCCCTACATCGCTCGACGCCGACCCCTGGCGCTGGGAGGCGCCCGTGTATTGAGGAACGGGGCCGGCGGCGGGGCCGAAACCAGCTGCAAGCAGCAAATGTCATACCCCCTTCCCCTATCCTACCCATGCGTCGGCTTGAGAATCTCGAGGGACAGCCAGGTGGATGACGCACAGAGAGAGGAGGGGGAAGGGCAGACGAAGGCAGGGAAGGAGGGGATGGGAAGGGGGGAGGAGGGCAAGCGGTGGGTGGGAGGAAGGGAAGTGGATGGGGGACTGGGAAGGGAAACGGGAGGTGAAATGCAAGGCGAAGGAGCGTGGAGCAGAAAAGCCGGCGGAACAAGACACCTGGTGGAGATCGTTCTTGTATCCATCATTTGAAGGGGCCCTGGGACACACAAATGAATAGACACAGATAACGTGATTCCCCATATTTTCAATGTGTTTGTCTTACCCTCCACTTCCCATATTTTCCCATATTTTCTAGGGAATCGACGATTCATTGTGTCTGTGTTTTTGTTTCCCTCCTGATCATTGGGGGTACCTCGTGTAACGGGCGGGGGCGTCGGGGGGGGGGGGGCACAACGGTAACGGCGGCCAGCGTGCCCCCCCGAAGACGCGCCCGCAGCACCGGCGCAAAGATTGCCTGTGTGCACCACAATCCCAGGTGTACGCGACAACGCCTGCGTGCACCACAACGCCTGTGCACACCACAATCTCGACGAGGCCCTAACTCCGAAAATCGATGTGGGCCCGAATCTATCCAATTTCTGGCTTGGACTGGAATGGTGGGCTTGTTTCCCACCGCCACCACGGAGCGGGTCCTCCTACTCCTCCTCCTCTTCCTCCTCATCCTCCACCTCCTTCCCCCCTCCAACTTATGGTGGTGGTGGAAAGCAGGCCCATCATGGAATACTGTCCGCCCTGTGTTTTGGGCCCGCAGTGCCTGCGTGCACCAGAAAGCCTGTAAAACATGATGCCTGCGCGAACGTCGCAGCCGTGTGCCCTTCAGCGCCTGGCGGCTACAACCACCACAATGCTCGTGTACGCCACAAAGCCAAGGTACACCACAGTCCCGACGGGACCCAAACTCGGGATAATCGCGGTAGGCCCGAACCTATCACATTCATTCTGCGAATGATATGTGATTATTGATTTGTCTCGCTTTTATTCTGGACTGGCAATGCCTTCGTGCACCTCAGCGCCGGTATGCAACACAATGCTTGTGCCGCAACATCAGCCGTGCGCACCACATCCCCTCGCGCATGCATTCAACACACAATCGTGAAGACGCCTGTGTACACGTCAAAGGTCACAACGGGAAGCATCAAGTCGGGAAAACCAGAGCGGGCCCACGAACGTATCAAATTCAAAATGACATCTATTTGCGATTGACTATTCTAGCCCGGGACACCGTACACGGCAGTAATTTCGTGCACCGCAGAGCCGGTGTACAACCCGATGCTTGCGCAACCGCACCAGCCGTGTGCACCTCTTCTTCCTCCTCTTCCTCCTCTACCTGCTCCCCCTCCTGCTGCTTCTCCTCCTCCTGCTCCTCCTCCTGCTCCTCCTCCTCCTCTCCTCCTCTTACTCCTCCATTATTCCCGCATCTTAACGGGTGGCTCAAAAGCTCGTTAGGATCCGTAGGAACTGCATGGGGGCCACTACGAGGTCCCATGGGCGCTGCAAGAGTTCACGCCTGTGGCCGGCTCCCAGGCGTTCCCGTTGCCGGGGGGTGGGGGTCTGAGGGGGTAACACGAATTACCCCCAGAGCCTACTTAAAAACAATCAGGTTTGAAACGCGAGGGGGGGAAGGGCTAACCTTCACCCGACATGCTGACATGAGCCGCGGCCTTCCGGCGAACGTCCGCTTCGTCTGCCCGTCCACCTGCTTGGCGCACGAGTCGATCACGCCAGCCTCCCTTCCATCTATTCGAGAGGACAAGGCGTGCTGTTCAAAGGACCTCGCGAGAACGTAAAAGATGTCAAGCGCGCAGCTGACTAACCTGACCCTTGGACCTCACTCGATGACTACAGGTCCAAGACAGAGCAGCGTACTCGGCGTGTCCTCCAAGACCGAGGAGGCAGGTATGGTTGTCGAAGGCCGATACGTAGATGACACGCAAGCACATAGAGAACATACACACGCGCACGCACGCACGCACGCACGCACGCCCACCACACACACATACTCACACACATACACACAGACGCACGGACTACACTCGCACCACACACAAACACGAACTTTCCGATCGCGCGCGGCTGGGGCGGAAGCCCCTCGAGCGTGTCAAAGGAGTCAAAGGCAGTCTGAGCAAAGCAGCCAAGGGTCAACCCTGGAGTGTGGGCAATGAGGAGGCCGCCGAGCTCCTCGCGGGGCAGAGTCTCTTGGACTCTTCCTGAGGCCAAGCGTGCCCATGACGGGCCCGAGAAGCCCCCCAGACTGTTCAGGAGGCCCCAGAAACAGCCCAAGAGAGCCCGAAGAAGGCCCAAGATGGTCTCAAGACGACCCATGGGGCCCCCAACGCGCCACAGGAATCCCGCCAGCCCTCGGCGGCCAACCCGGAACCATGCCGACCACATGCGGGCCCGCCCCCCACCATCCCTGTCAAAAACAATACAAAACGCACTCTGCCTCGACATTTGGAGCATGCGCGGCCAACCCGATGCGCCCCCCCCACCATCCCTGTCCAAAAACAATGCAAAATACACTTTGGGGCAAAGTCTTGAGTCATGTTCGTGAGGCCCGCGAGCACTTTGTATTTTTTTTGTCAGGGACGGCGGGGCTGTCAGCATATTCCCTGCTGTGCGCAAGGCTACCGTGTCTGACAGAAAAAATAATACAACATGCACCTCGCGGCTACGTCTGGATCATGCGCGGCCATCCCGCGATCACTGTCAAGCGATGTTTGACAGGGACGGCGGGGGTGGTGGCGCGTGGCCTAGCGTTCGCAGGCCCACCAGACACAAAGACGGGCACTGGTTTTCGACAAGGATGGCGGGGGCCGACATGTTTCCCGATGTGTGCTGTCACGTGCGCAGGCGCACCTGACGCACTGTGCACATGCCCCGAAAAGTGGCGCACCTCGCGCGGCTGGAGTGTGCGGCACACCTGGCGCACTCGGAGCACGTGGCGCATCTGGCGCACCAGGCGTGCCTGGCACGCTCGGGCCCCAGAGGTGCCTGGCGCGCGTGGCGCCCCTGGCACGCGTGGCGCGCCTCGCCCAAGCGTCGCGCACCTGGGGTCGGCTTTGGTTCCCAGTAGCTGCCCATCCAAACACGACCGCTGAACATGCTCAAGCTCGGGTGTTACTTACGTGTTGGGAGGGCGGGTTGGAGTGAGCTAGACGGCTTTTTTGTGGGCGGGTGGGTAGCTTGAACCCTCCTCCTATCCCCTCCCCTGGATCTGGACGTGGGGGGGTCGCGAGGTGTGGTCGTTTTTGGCTCAAGATGGTTCCAAGAGGGCCCCAGAGAGCCCAGGATGGCCTCTAAGATCGCTCAAGATAGCCCAACATGGCTAAAGATAGCTAACAGCATGCCTCAAAGAGGCCCCAAGAGGGCCACAAGACGGATCCAAGTGCTTTGGGAGATCCCTCAGGACCTCCCTGGGAAGCCAAAATCCTCCCAGAAACCTCAGAAGGAAATGTTTGAGGTTGGCCTTCTCGCCTCTTCGCTTCCGGGGTGCGCTTTTGGGGACTCAGGATGGCCCCAAGATGCCCCCAGGACGGTCCCAAGAGCGCCCAATATCGCCCCAAGAGCGCCCCAAGAGAGGCGATTTCGAGGGCTCGTAGGGGGGGGCCTCGAGAAGGGACTCCCCCTTTTGATCGATGGCCTCCAAGATGGGCCCAGGAGGCCCTCCGAAGCTCTCAGGAGAGCCCCAAGAGAGCCTCAAGAGGGCCCCACGATGGGCCCTAAGACGCCTCAAGAGAGCCCAAGAGGACCCCAAGGCTCCCCAAAGAGTCCCAAGAGGGCCCCAAGATGCCCCAAAAGAGCCCCAAGACGACCCCACGGCGCCCCCAAAAAAGCCCAATAGCTCCAAGAATGCCTCCGATGCTCCAAGATAATCTCCAACATGGCTCAATACGATCCACCCCCTCCTCTATTGCTGACCGCTCTGTTTCACTATATGCGTCTATGCTTTCTACTTCCCGTCAGCTCTCGTGGACAGGGCTTCTGAATGGGCTGGCGGGGATTCGCGAAGCGTAAACAATCATGAATTCTCTGCTGGCTTCTGAACGATTTTGGCGTTCTCGCCTTTGCGTGCTTCCAACTCCCAAAAACAGCCCAAAAGGCTCCCAACACCTCCCAAACACAGTCTAAGAAGTCCCAATGACGGCCCCAAGGGGTCCCCAAGAGGGCCGCAAGACTGGCCAGGGGGCCCCCGAGACGAGCCCAAGAAGCTCCCAAGAAGCCCCCAAGAGGGGGAGCACGAACTGACATCTCGAGCCCTCAACCCCAAGATAGCCCCAAGACCCCACCCAGATGCACCCGTAGCGCCCCCAAGAGGCTCCCAAGAATCTTCCACGAGGCCCCAGACGGGCATCCCAAAAGACCCTCACACGCATCTAAGAGGCATCTGACTCCAACCCAGGCGCGGTGGTGGGATGGGCTGGAGGCCGCGAGATATCTGAACCCAGGCTAATCGCCTGACTCGTATATCAACGCGTCTGCGCGGGTAAAGAATTATGGGGTACAGTGGAAAAAGAAGCTGGAAATATCAGACGCTCCCGATCCAGTCAAAATAGAGCCCACTGTGCAAGGGTACGACAAGGCCCTGGTCGACTGCGGTTTGATGTGTTTCCTGTGCGTTACTGGGGGCACGATATTTGCACACCGCCACCACTAAGCATCTGGTCTGGCACAAAGAAGGCGTCCCCTGAGGACGCAACGTTTGCACACCACCCCAACAAACATGCTGGTCGAGCCCACAAGATCGTGGAACGGGAATGCACAACAATTGCATCCCTTAGGGGCATCCTGCTTCCACCACTCCCAAAAACAAGCTGGTCCGGCACAAAGTACTCGAAATCCCATATCAGTCGTCCCCCGGGTCAGGTTTTTTGAGGCGCCTTTTTCGTAACTGGGGGGTCAGGTTTATTAGGGCGTTTTCTTTACATTGGAGCTTAGGGGGGTCCGGTTTATTGAGGCGCCTTTTGGCAATCACTGCTCAGCTAGTGTTTTGCATGCAGCACTGTCGTTTTCGCGGCCGTTGCTGCGAATTACCACCATCACCGGCATCAGCGGCAACGGCGATGGTAACGCCATGGCGATGTGAATCTCGACGGTGACGACGCGCCATTTTTGCGACGGCGGCTTTCCCAAGTACAGAGGTCTGCGTCTCAGCCCCCAAACTCGCACTACAACCCGTTGCCATCGCATTCACCTCCCGCCCGACATCTTCAAACACAATTGCTGTTTTGCTGAGGGGGGGTCCGGAGTATTGAGGCGTCCTCTTGAAGTGGGGGGTCGGGAATATGAGGTCGCATTTGCAAGGGGGTCCGGTTTTTATGAGGGGGGGTCGATTCACACGGGATTCCGGGTACGCGCATGCAGGGGCGGAGGCAGCACATCGGTCCCTGAATCACTGCAGGTCGCCTCCTCATCGCGCCAACCCACGATTCCCCCCCCTCCAACGGGCAGGCCGACTCGCATCCGCGCAACCGGGGCTCCAGCAATGCCTCCGAGCAGCCAGGAGGGAGAGGCTCGCTTGGATGGAAGGAGGGGGGGAGGTAAGAGGACCAGGGGCACAGCGAAGAACTGGGAAGCAAGGACAAGCTTGGTGGGAAGAAGAGCGGAAGAGGCAGGGAGGAGGAAAAGGGTGAGGCAGGAGAGAGTGAGGAAACCGGGAATAGAAAAGGAGAGGGAAGAGGGGGAGGATGGGGGAAAAAGAGCAGGGCGGGGGGGAGGGAAGGGAAACGGCAAAGGAGGGCGGAGGGAACAGGAGAAGACTGCTGGTTGACTGGTTGGTAACCACGATGGGTATTTGATAACCCCGAAAAATTCGCCGGCCCAACGGGCCAAGGAAGGGCGTGCTATGATCTCCGGTAACTGGTCATAAATATTTCTAATTCGCGCGCGCGGGGCCGCCCCTGGGGATACCCGGACGAATAATACCCCGGCAAGGTCCCGGCACGTCCCAGCAAGGTCCCGGCAAGGTCCCGGCAAGGTCCCGGCAAAGGTCCTGGGCAAGTCCCGGCCAGGCTCCCAAGAGCGTTCCAGTAGCGCTTCAAGTGGCCTCCAAGAGAGCTCAACATGGTCCGAGACGGTCCAAGAGCGATCCAAGACGCCAAAGATGGCAGTCAGACAGCCCAAAACGCCTTCAAGACGCCCCAAGAGGCCTCCAAAAGCCCACAAAAGAAGAAATTTGCAATTTTCCTTAAAAATGCTTGTAGGTTTTTGGCATTCTCGCCTTTTCGGCTTACCGGCGCTCCAAGACGGCCCGAGACACTTCCAGGATCGCCCCAGCACGACCCAAGAGGCCTCCAAGAGCGCCTAAAACGACCCCAGAGGGCCCCAATACAGCCCCAGAGGCCTCCAAGATCGCCGAAGAGGCTCCCAATACGGCTCCAAGAGCGGGCCCAGACGAGGGAGTCGAATGGACATTTCGAGCTCCAAGAGGCCCCCGAGAGGCCCCAAGAGACCCCCACGAGGCCCCCGTGACGCCCCCAGAGATCCCCGAAATACCGCCAAGAGGCCCCAAACGAGGCTCCAAGAGGCCCACAAACGGCCTCCAAAAGGCCACGAACGCGCAGGCAATCGCCTGCGATGGCACAATACGGACCGGCGGAGTGAGCGAAACGATGGAACAACTTGCAACTGACTATCCCAGCACACCACCCGAATAGCAGCTTATATGCCACATGTGCCACATATTCAAGCGATCCCTTGCAACTGACTATCCCAGTACCACCACCTATGGTGCGTAGATTGTAACATGTGCCACATATTCAAGCGATGAGGATGATATTGCTGATGATGGTGATGGTGCTGGTGGCCATTGTGACCGCCTTGTGTTTTACGCATGCTCCTATAGATTGCTTGAATAGCACGTGCTTCCCGTGCGTTCGTATAGATGATCGCATGGTGACATTCGGATGATGTGGTTCGGTCAAAACGCACGATCCGCCAACGTGCCGCTGGGTACGGAGTGGGCGTGACCTGAGGTCCTTGGCCGAATCCCTTAAACACTTGTGAAGAGTCTTTACGGTGCCCAGACCCCAAATGATCGAATCTACGGAGGCTTGTCGCATGCCTTCTGAACTTCCCCGCGTTTTCTCGCGTGACCTGATCGGGCCCACGAGGGGCCCAAGATGGGCCAAATGAACCCCACGAAGCTCCCAAGACGGTCCAAAGGGGGGCTCGAGTCGTCGAAAGATCGTTCCATGACTCCCAAGATGGCGTCCCTTGCCCAGGGAGCCTCCGAAGCCCCCGAAGAAGCCTCCGAGAGGCGCCCCAAAAGGAACCCACGAGGCAACATTCGCTGATTGTCCTGCAATACTCGACAGATGTTGGCGCTCACCTCTCCAACGCTGCTGGCGCCCACCTCTCCAACGCTGGTTGATTGTACTGCTCCCGACGCTCCAAATCGGGCATGGACAGACCCCCCTTTAGTAAAACGTGGTTTAGTGAAAACGACCTGGGCCCAAACCTGGCGGGCCCAAGCCTGGAAAATAAAGGCCACGGCGCCCTCTCGAGAACCGAAAACGGACAATTCACTAATCGACGTGTCACTGTTAGGGGTTCTGTCCACCCCCGACGCTCCAAAAGGGCCCGCGAGGCCCCCCAAGACTGCCCCAGCACGGCCAACGAGGCCACCGAGAGGGCCCCACACGGCGGCCGAAGGGCGCCCCAAGGACGGCCCAGGCCCACGACGCCCGAGGAGGCCCACGACGGGCCCGGAAGAAGCCCAAGGGAGGGAACGCGGACCGAACATCCGAGCCTTCCGCCCAAAGAGCCTCCTCCTCCTCCTCCTCCTCCTCCTCCTCTCCTCCTCCTCCTCCTCCTCCTCCTCCTCCTCCTCCTCCTCCTCCTCCTCCTCCTCCTCCTCCTCCTCCCCCCTTGGTCCCTCCCAAAGTAGTCCCTGAGAAACCATCGAAGATCACCATCTGTGTCCAACATGTTGGTGACCCCCCAGGCCAGGAGGTCCCAAGGGGCGCCCAGGACGCCCCGGACTGCCCGAAAGGGGCGCCCCAAAGGCCCCCCAGAGGCCCAACATAAGAGCCCCGTGAGGAACCACAACGGCCCCCAAGAGGCCTCCGGCATGCCTCCAAGCGGCCCCCAAGCCCCCACACGAGACCCCAACGAACATCCAATAGGCTGCATACCCACAACCCCGACACGGTGGCGGAATGGGCCGAAAGGCCATTAGATAGTCTCAGGGTGGCGCTGAGGATATGGCCATGATCAGAGGTGGCTTTTGCCGAATGCGCTGGAAAACGCTTCTGCTCTCCGAACTGAAGTAGCGCGGCGACAGTTGCCTGCTACAGCGCAGGCTGAGCAGCCCTGTGGTCCCGAGAACATGGGCGCAACGGGCTGAGCAGCACCGTTGTCGCGAGACAATTGGCACAACAGGCTGAACAGTACCATGGTCGCGAGAGCTTGGGACCCAGGCTGCAGATCAACGAGGTGCGCGGCCCGTGGACATGATCATCCAAGCGAAACGGCGGCAAGTTCGCTGGGGAGGGTGCGAAACATGTGAGGCGGCACAGGCGGAGGAGCACCGTGGTCGCGAGAACAGAAAGCGCAACAGGCTGAGCAACACCGCGGTCGCGAGAGCACGGCACGGAACCAACGCAGGAAGGGGCGCATGGCCTCGCCGCGCCCCCGGGCGAGAGGAGCCCGCGTGGTGTCAAGGCGTCGGGCTGCGCACAGGCAGCCCCCACAGATAGTCTCAGGTCGGGCCGAGCGGATTTCGCATGAGAAATTAGCCATGCGCAAAAGATGTCCAAAAATGTACAGGAAATCATCGAAAAATGGCACCCAGACTGTTTTTGTTGCCTATTCTTGCATACTCCCTCGTCCCTCGTTTCAATCTGCGCGGGGATCCGGACGGCCCACCCCTGCGGGCGTACAGGTGGAGCCTGCGGGTCGCCTTCGCGGGCGGCGCGCAAGTGAGGCTCGCGAGGGTCTTCGCCGCACAATGACGGCGAGGCGGCGCACAATGACGGCGAGGCGGCGCAAGCGCTGCATGCGCGCAGCCGCATGTTCGATGATTTCGTTTTCAATATGCTGGAGAGCATGCAGGAAAAAAACCCGTGCTCGGGGTCTGCGCGCGCGAATCGCATATCACCTGCGCCCTCCACCCGTGGCACTGGGCGTGCTCCACGCGTCCCTGCTCGCCCTGGACAAGGAGGGGTCGCGAGAATATGTCCAGAGCCACTGCCGCGGGGTCGCGCCCGGAGACTCGAAGAGCAGCGGGTACGGATATCTGCCCGCCCACGCGGGCAGGCAGTCTCGAAATCCCAGACCACCTGGGAAGGCCCGGAGAGGCCAAGCACATGTATTTTCCTACGGCAGTGTCGTGTCGTGCCGACTTCGGCGTTGGTTCCTGACACCGCGGGGATCGTTCAACCTTGAACGATCGGCCGTTTCCCAAACGTCCGATCGTTCAACATCGACCGATTCTGGGCCGCCGCAAGCAGTCAACGTTGAACGCCGGCGGTGGGATCGCCGCCCGTCGACACGACGCGAGCCTACGGTATGGTTTTTGACGGATTTGGGCGTTTGCTTTGATAGAGGCCTCCTAGATGGGGTCGGAGTTGATGGTGTCGGAGGATCCAGCCGCATCGCCGATACATCGGCGATGCATCGGCAACGCATCGGCGATGCACCGGCGATGCACCGGCGACGTTGACGATGTATCGGCGACGTCCGCGCGAAGAATATCGGGCTCCGCATCGAGCCGCATCGGCGATACATCGGCGACACGGCGCGATCCTCCGACCCCATTCGGCGGTGGACAAACCTCCCTTTGGTAAACCTCCCCTTGGTGAAAACGGCCTGGGACCGAAACCGACGGACCTGGACCCGCAGAAATGACGGCCGCGACGCCCTCTCGCGAACCGAGAACGGCCAATTCACGAATCGACGTGTCAGGATAGGAGGTCTATCCACCTCGGACCCGAGGAGCGGGACCACACCAGCCAGGTGTTGTCGTATCATCCTCCGCACGCTTCCTCGCTATCTGGATCGGCTCGCCCACGAACTCGTGCGTTACTTGGTGCCTCCCTTCCCGTCTGGGAGGCCCAGACTTTGGGCACGCGCTTCCAAGTGGCCTTCCGACGGGCCGTTCGCGGCCCCGCAGCCAGCACCGAGCGGCGCGGAGAGGCCGCTGCGCGCAGCGCGGCGGCTGCTGCTGCTGCCCCGCGCTCGGCGCCCGCTGCTCGGCATTGCCATGAGATCTGGACACTGCAGCTTCTTCGCACCGGGCATTCTCGCCCGGTTTCGTAAGACGAAGCCAGGACGAGGATAACCTGAATTCGGGTGACGATGAATCGAGAATCCCCGAGATGCGGCAGCTCCTGAGGATGTATCGAGCGTCGTGGCCTTCTCAGAGCGTTCCGGAACGCTCTGGAACGCTCTGAGAGCGTTCTGGAATGCTCTGGAACGGAGTTATGCTCCTCCTAACCCCATCCGATCTCGATCCCCGAGGCCATCACAGATCGATCGGGCTCGACAGATGCCGCAGAAAGATGGGCTTCAGGGCGTTGGTCGCAATGTTTTCGCACCATGCGTTTTCGCTCACTTTCGGGTCCCGAGACCATCACGAATGCCGAATAAAGAGAGGCTCTTAGCGCTTTGGTCGTGACTTTTTCGCACTGGGCGATTTCGCCCCATTTCGGGCCCCAGAACCATCACGGATCGGCCTGGCTCGTCAACTGCCGCGGCAAGATGGGCTCCAGAGCGTTGGCCGTGACTTTCTCGCACCGGGCGTTTTGGCCCCATTTCGGGCCTCACCCAGAGTCGAGGCCGACAGCGCGAGGTGGCAGCGCTGATCTTGGACGGCTCCGGACCGACCACCAGCGGTGGAGAGGAGCGGAGGCGTGGGGCACGCATGCGGATCTTGGAGCCAAGCCGCCAAGCCTTCAAGGGGGCGCCAGGGTGTCGCGAAGCGTGGGGCATGCATGCATGCGCATCCTGGGGCAAGATCGACCAGCCCTACTTGACTGCGGGCCCCGAGGGGTCCCAGGGTCACGAAGAGTTGGGAGGGGGACTAAGAGGGAGGTAGATGTAGAGAGAGGGGGAGGAAAGAAAAGAGAGTGGGAGAAAGAGAGAGAGAGAGAGAAAGAGAAAAATATGTGAAGATATATCGGAGGTGCGGGTGAGATCGAAGTGGAACGGAGAGCCCCCCTACCGGGAAATCGATTTCGGTTTCGTGTTCGTGCGTGCCGTGCGCGCGGACGAGGCGAAGCTGCGTGGGCGGGCGAGAGGAAAGTCTCCTGTGGCTGAGGCGCGGCCGGACCAAATGTGTCTCTTCCGGGCGGCCGGTGGCGCGCGGTGTCCCGCCGGTGTCCCGCTGGTGTCCCGTCGGTGTCCCTGTGGCTGAGGCGCGGCCGGACCAAATGTGTCTCTTCCAGGCGGCCGGTGGCGAGCGGTGTCCCGCCGGTGTCCCGCCGGTGTCCCGCGGTGTCCCGCGGTGTCCCGCGGTGCCCCGCGGTGTCCCGCCGGTGTCCCGCGGTGTCCCGCGATCATGATGATGATGACGATAATGATAATGATGATGATGATGATGATGATGATGATGATGATGATGAGATGATGATGACGATGATGATGATGATGATGATGATGATAATGATGATGATGATGATGATGGTGATGCTGATGATGATGATGATGCTGCTGATGATGATGATGACGATGATGATGATGATGGTGATGCTGATGATGATGGTGAGGACGATGATGATGATGATGATGATGATATGATGATGATGGTGCCCCGATGATGATGATGATGATGATGATGTCAATGATGATGACGATGATGAGATGATGATGATGATGATGATGATGCTGATGGTGTCCCGATGATGAGGATGATGATGATCATGATGATTATGTTGATGATCATGATGGTGACGATGATGGTGATGCTGATGATGATGAGTATGATGATGTTGATGTTGATGATGCTGATTATGATTGTGTCCCTATGATGATGTTGATGATGATGAGGTTGATGATGAGTATGGCGTGCCCATGATGATGATTATTATGATGGTGATGATGATGTTGATGATGATGGCGTCCCGATGGTGATGATGATGACGATGATGATGATGATGATGATGATGTTGATGCTGATGTTGGTAATGATGATGATGGTGCCCCGATGATGGCGATGATGATGCTGATGATGATGTTGATGATGCTGATGATGATGTCGATGATGGGGATGAGATGATGATGATGGTGTCCCGATGATGATGATGATGATGATGATGATGATTATGATGATGATGATGATGATGATGATGATGATGATGATGATAACGATGGTGATCATGATGGTGTCCCGATGAAGATGCTGCTGATGATGATGACGATGACTGTGTCCCGATGCTGCTGATGATGATGATGTTGATGATGATGATGATTGTGATGATGGTGATGATGATGATGATGATGGTTGTGTCCCGATGATGTCTATGACCGTGATGATGATGATGTTGGTGTTGATGATGAGGAAGGTGTCCCGATTATGATGATGTTGGTGATGATGATGTTGATGTTGATGTTGTTGTTGATGATGATGACGTTGATTGTGATAACGGTTGTGATATCGATAGTGAGATCGATAGTGAGACCGAATGTGATATCGATTGTGAGATCGATTGTGAGATCGATTGTGAGATCGATAGTCAGATCAATTGTGAGATAGATCGAGTGAGATCGATTGTGAGATCGATCGAGGGAGATCGATCGAGCGAGACCGATACTGAGATCGATAGTGAGATCGATAGTGAGACCGATCGAGTGAGACGTTGGTTCCTCCTCCCCCCGAACCTCCTTATCACCCGAAGGGTGGTCGTATAAGTATATATAGAGGGAGAGAGAGAAAGAGAACGAGGAATGATGAGGAATGGTGAGGGAGGATGAGGAAGGAGGATGAATGAGGAAGGCGGACGAAGGAGGAGGGGAAGAGAGAGGGAGGAAGCGGACGAAAGTGAGAGGAGGAGGAGGAGGAGGAGGACAGAGAGGAGGAAGGTGAAAGGAAGGGCGGACGGTGGAAAGAGAGAGGGAAAGGACATAGAGAAGCAATAATGCGGAGGGAGGAGGAGGAGGAGGAGGAGGAGGGAGGAGGAGGAGGAGGAGGAGGAGGAGGAGGAGGAGGAGGAGGAGGAGGAGGAGGAGGAGGAGGAGGAGGAGGGAGGAGGAAGGAGGAGGAGGAGGAGGAGGAGGCCTCCTGTCGCCCATCCGCCGGTGGCGGTGGCGTGCTGTTGCCGCGGGCGCAATGCTCGCCGTAGTCCGGGCAGCAGCTGCGGTGCTCCTCGCGGGGGCGTCCAGGAGGGGGGCGCCCGAGCCGAGAGGGGGGGGGCTCGCAGATCATGGCCCGAGGCGCGGCCGTGGCCCAGGGGGGGGGGGGGATCGGGGCGCGTGCTGGGGAGAGAAGACGAGGGGGCCACGAAGTCTGGGGCAAGCAAATGACATCCTGGCCCCAGCCACGATATTCCCCCCCCCCCCCAGTAATCGCCCCTCCTGTCTGAGCCGCTCCCGATCCTCGCAGGCTGGGTTGCACTGGCAGTCCTGCGAGCGGTCAAAGTCTCGACAGCCGTACGCAGCGCAGCTGGCCGTGCTCCCTGTCCCCAGGCCGCCGCTGCCGCCGCCGGGCCGCGGCGGCGGTCCGCCGTAGCCCTCGCCGCGACACTGGTCCGCCGTCGGGAGGGAGACGGAGGGCGAGAGGGAGGATGGGGAGGGAAGGGGGCGGGGAGGAGGGGGGCGGAGGCGGAGGGGGGCGGGGAGAGGGGGCGAGAAACGAAGGGGGAGGGGAAGAGGGAGGAGGGGAACATGGAAGGAAAAACGCACAGGGAAACAGCGGGGACGGGACGAGGGGCTTGACCGGACGGGGCTGGAGAGAGGGTGGAGCGGGAGAGGGAGGGGGGAGCAAGAAAGTGGTGAGTGAAGACAGGGCGGGAGGGGAGAAGACAGCCTGCGAGGCCTGCGATGGCTAACTGCGAGAATGGGGAAGCAGACCAGATGTCGCATATAGTCATACGCGCCACCCAGCAGCAAGGCAGATCGAAGGGCGTCACGAATCCTTGTCCGATGCTCTCTGCAAGATCGTCCAGGAATAGACAGCTTTATCTTGACGCGCCTGCGATTGGAGTTATGACATGATTCCATCAGCATTGGCATGTGAAGTTTTCCCTGGAAGGGTGAACAGAAAGGAAATGGCCTCAGGGATGTGTATCCGTGGAAACTGTTTTTTCGATGCTCCCGCCCTTGCCGGCGTAGCCTCCAATCCCGACGCCGCTCACTGTTTCTGTTCCATGGTGGACCGAACGATGCGACAAATCACAACATCGCTACTGTGGACCCGCATGTCGGCATCGGAGCCTGCAGCATACGAAACATTCAGCATATGGCGGATGGGAGAAAAAACCTCGCCCACGCTGGAAGCGACGAGAGGCTCGCTATTGACCCGTCCGTGAGCACCTCTGCATCGGAGCGAAATCTGCTGCCCCCTCTCCCATAGCTAGAGGAACAAAAACAGCAGAAATGCACAGTTTCGGAGGTCCACGCAGATGTCTTGGATCGCTGGGTCCCCCTCCCTGGCGCGCGGAGCGCAACGGGAGCGGCGAGGGCATGTTTATGCCATTTGTTTCTTCCTCGAATAACGGCGCCCGAACCGCTCTGGTGTAGGCCCAGGGCTCCTTCAGCCCAGCTCTCTGGCCCGACCACGCGGGACCTGGGAGGCCACGGGCCCGTTCTAGTTGAGTCGAAGTGTAGCCCCTTCCCCTTGATCCCTTCCCCGCGGGGGGGGGGGTCCCGGGGGTGGCCTCCCGGCCGGGGGGGGTCCCCGGAAACCATTCCCGGGTCCCCCCCCCCAAGGAGACCACTCCCGGTCCATGTCGATGACGCAGTGGTACAAGTCGCCAAAGTAACCTACAGACGGCCCAAAAGGCTTCCACAATGCCCCAGGAAGCCTCCACGAGGACTTTTGAAACGGACACGAACCATCGATTTCTTGTACGTTTTGCAACAGGTTTGGCGTTGTTACCGTGTCCCCTTCCCGACGATCCAAGACCGGCCACGGATCCCCCAAAACCGCCCCAAGATGGCCGACGACGCCTCCAAGAGACTTCCACAACGACGCACGAGGCCCCAAGACCGGCGAAGAGGCCTCCAGGAGAACCGAAGAGGCCCCGATGACATCTCCAGGGAAGATCCCAGATGGGGGACCCACACCAACATGTCGAGCCTTCGGCATCAGATCGTCTCTGGAGGCCCCCAGAGGCCTTTCACAAACACCCCGAGAAGCCCCGAGAAACCTCCACATGACCTCCAATTAGCCTCAAACGCTCCCACGCGCCTCCCAAGCGGCCCCCAAGACTCAGAAAACACCCACACACAGGAACCCCCAAGACGATTTCAAACAGAATCCCGACTCATCCCAAGAGACTCCGAAAGACAGTCCAAAATTTTCGGGCCTTCTGCTGGCCCTCTTCCTTCTCCTCCTCCTCCTCCTCCTCCTCCTCCTCAGCCTCTTCCTTCTAAGCATCCTTCCTCCTCCATGTCCTGCTCCACCCTCCTCCTGTCGACAGATAACGGCTGCCCCTTTCGTGCTCCTACAGCTCCCTGATTGCCCCAACTCTCCTGGACATCGGTTCGGAAACACCCCGACGGCTCGCTTCCTATGTTGGTTCTGGGGGCGTCAACCACTCCCGTTTCCCTCCCTCTCCTGACCCTCCTTTTTTCTCTTTCGGCCACGGACGCGCTGCCCAAAAAACAGTTGGTCGTCCATCGTCGTCGTGAAAGCGGCCGGGCAGAGGCTGCCCGCGCAAACAAGCAGACAGCGGCGGCGGTGCGCGCAATCTCGGCGGAGAGAGGCGGCGCGCCGGGCACGGCCCGCGCGCCCGTCCCCGCCAGCGGCGGGGCCTCCGACGCCAGCTCGACGACGCGCAAATGGTGGGCTTGTTATCCACCGCCACCACCATAAGTAGGAGGGGGAGGGGGTCCTCCTCCTCCACCTCCTCCTCCTCCACTTCCACCTGCACCTCCTCCTCCTCCTCCTCCTCCTCCTCCTCCTCCTCCTCCTCCTCCTCCCCCTCCTCCTCCTCTCCTCCTCCTCCTCCTCCTCCTCCTCCTCCTCCCCTCCTCCTCCTCCTCCTCCTCCTCCTCCTCCTCCTCCTCCCCCTCCTCATTCTTCGCGCCGCCGCGCGGCCAGCCTGGTCCGCCCCCAAGGCCGTCCGCAGCTGCCGCGCTGTGGCCCGGAGGAGATCGATCAGCTCCCGCCCCCTCGAGGCCACCAGCTTGCCAGCCAGGGCGTCCGCCTCGCCCTCGTCGCCCGTTGCCAGCAGCGCCACCTGGTCCCGGGCAAGGCCGCGCAGGTGCCGGAGAGCGGCCTGGCCGCGCTGGCCGCCAGTCTCCAGCGCCAGAAGCACCATCCGCCAAGGCGCTCGCCCCGCCGGATACGGGCGACGCTTGTCCGCCTCCGCGGCGGCGTTGACGGAGCCGTCGCGGCCGGCGGCGGCTCGCAGCGCGCCGACGTCACCCGGTACGCTGTGCCTGACGGTGACATCGAAGAGGCGCGCGGCTGGCCGGACCGCTGCACTTCGAATGGCGCCGCCGCGCTGGGCAACAACGGCCCCGCCGCGGGTACCGCAAACGGCCGCCAGCGGCGCCGGAGCGGCCCCGCGCGCGTCACGCCCAGCGCAGCGCCACGCCCAGCGGTCCCAGGCTGGAGCGTTGACCTGGCGCTCGGCACGGTGGCTGCAGTCCGCGTGGGCCCGCTGCCAGACGCGCTCAAAGTCCCCGCTGCGGGCCGTCGAGCCTCCGCCGCGCGAGCAGCGCCAGGCGTGGCGGGCCTTGCTGCACAGCGCCTCGCCGCAGCGCTGGCTGGCGCGCTCGCACGCGCGGGCGCTATTGCAGCAGGCAGCCCCCGGCGGCGCACAGGAGGCAGCGGACAGTGGCCCTGTAGTCCGCGTCGTCCAGGCGCTCGCGGGCCTGCGCGGGCGCGACAGTCTGCCACCCGGAGGCGCGCGGCCCTCCAGGGCCCTCAGCGAGGAAATGTGTTTTTTGTGGTCGAGCCTTGCAGCGAAGGCCTTCTGAAACTTTCGGGTAGGCGTCGCGGCCAGCTCTTGCCAGGTGGGCAGCTCGGCCGGTTCCGCGCCAGGGCGAGGCGGCGGCGGCGCCAGCTGCGCGAGCCCGGCCACCGCGTCGCGGCAGGCGCCAGCGAGCGGGAACCCGCAAGTTATCAGGTTCTCCAGGCAGGCGAAGCCAGTGCGCTCCCTGACTCCGCCCAGGCTCTGCGCCCAGGAGGCAGCCAAAACTGTCAGCGCCACCTGCCGCTGGCTGCGTGCGCAGCCCGCGCCCGCCAATCCGCATGGGCAGCTGGCACTGCGCCCGATGCGGCTCCGCGAGCGGGTCCAGCTCCGGGTGCTCCTCGTATGCCGCCAGCAGGGCCTCGTCGTAAGCCGCGGCCGCGGCCTCGAAAGCCGCCGCCGGGTTCGTCCACAGGAGGCACGTGAGCTTGCTGGTGCCGCCATGGCGTAGCAGGAGCTTCCTCGTCCTCCTCCTCCTCCTCCTCCTCCTCCTCCTCCGTCCCACCTCCAACTTATGGTGGTGGTGGTGGAAAACACGCCTATCAGCAGGAGCGGCCCTGGGTAAGTGGAGACCTCCTGGATGGGGTCTGAGTAGATGGGGTCGGCGGATCGCGCCTCATCGCCGATGCATCGGCGATTCATCGGCGACGTCGGCGATGCATCGGCGACTTCGACGTGAAGCAAATCGGGCTCCACATCAGGCCGCATCGACGATGCATCGGCGATGTGGCGCAATCCTCCGACCCCACTTACTCCGATCCCACCTCGGAGGCCTACAGTAAGAGTGACCCTTGGTGCGCGGCGTTGTGGGGGCCGTGGGGGGCTTGTTTCTTCTTGCTTTGCTTGAACCATATTTCAAATTGTGGGGGAGATAACGCATGTTACCCGGGGGGGGCGTGGGGGGGGTGGCGGTAACTGGGGCCGCGGCACGCACCCCGTGAGGCGCGCCGCCTACGTCGTCGTCGTCGTCGTCGTCGCCGCCCAAACCCACAACGCCTGCGCGCATAGCACGGGCTCTGTACGATGCCTTTGTGCACCAGAGCTGCTACAGAAATCGCACGTGTGCACCACGGCGACTGTGTACACCGTAACGACCGCGTGCACCACGACGCCTGTGTACATCGCACGATCTGTGCACACCACGGCGCCCGCGTGCACCACAGCCGCTGTCTCAGCGCTCACTGTGCACCACAGCGCCTGCGCACACCGCAAAGGTCGTGTACGCCTGAAGGCAATACCGACGGGGCCAAGCTCAAGAACATCGTCGGGGGCCCGAACGTATCAAATTCAATCTCAGAGGCGATTGTGATTGTTTGTTTTTCCTGGCCCCAGAAACGCTGGGACATGTTGGGCCCACACCGCGCCATAGCGACCGCGCACGTCATGGCAACTGCGCGCACCACGGCGCCCTGAGCAGGCACAGTAAGAGCAGAAGGAGGCGCGGCAGGAGGCGCACCAGGGAGCCACGATGACAGCAATATCTTTCTTCAAAAGAACACACTTACACACACAACAATGCCGATGTACACCACAACAACCGTCTGCACCGCAAGGCCTGTGATTACTGACGCCATTGCTGCTGTTTCAGCA